GCTTGCACACTTCCTTGCACCATTGTCATTATGTTTCAACATGCATTAATAATAGTAGTATTCACATACCTACACTATTACCGTAGCAGGCCTACACTTGTTACATAACACTCTACATGAATGACAAGACTACATCATGCATTTTCACGTGATGCACTTAGAAACTTACACACTAACAACATACATTTTCATGTGACTCTTGCACTTAGAAACTTGCACACTTCAGCATGCATTTTCATGTGACTCCTCTAATCACATATGACCATTATAAATACATGTTCATCAAGGAACAAACTCTTCTTATCTCATTACCAACTCTACTCCTCATATGTTCTATAAAGTCTTCTTGTCACTCTGCAAACTTCACTCATCAAAATTCACTTAGCAAACTTCACTCAGCAAACTTAACCCACAATGTCTCTACTCACAATAGGCAACAATCACAGAGGCACAATTGAGAACATCGCCTAGTTTGTAAGTATTTTTATTTTTGTTGTCATTCTTTACTAAGTTTAATCTTCCTTTAAACCTAATGATATTTATATTCTTTCGCAAAATATATCAAGGTTTCGTTGTCATGTGCATGCATACATACCACATGACCCTTTCATAAAAGGATACCTAGAAGCATGTGGGTTCGGTGATTTGATCAAAATCAAATCGTACTCACTGGATCCCAAATTTATTATAGCATTGCTAGAATGCTAGAAACCAGAAACCCGCACATTTCACCTACATTTCGGTGAATGTACCGTAACTTTACAAGATGTATACATGTTACATGGCCTACACATAACCGGTAAGGCCGTCAACGACAAAGTTGGTGTTAATGACCAACTTTGCGAAGATTTACTGGGCGACCCTCTATGTGTCGGCACACCACAGTCAAAACGTGAGGGTTGATCGAGGAGGCAAGGTATTAATTTGAAATACCTCAGAGAACACTACAACAGTATCGTGTTAAATAAGGAATCCACCGAGTATGAGAAGATACTTAAAACTCGGTGCTATATTATGATATTATTTGGCCATTTTTTATTTCCAGATAATACTGTAAATATTATGTATTTACCATTGTTGCACAACATTAATAAAGTGTGCACATATAGTTGGGGTTCAACTGTCATCGCCTATCTATATAGTTCATTATGTAAAAATGCAAAAAAAAAAAAAAATTCTTGTACTTTTTATAGCTGCGCCTATCTCCTTCAAGCATGAGGTTGGTCTAGGATGCCAACACTTGCTCCAATCAACCGCAATCCATTCACATTCCCATACACTAACAAGTTTATTTTCAATACGAGTATACAAACGATGTTTCTTTGTAACTTAATTATTTGTGCAATGTTTCTTAGTAACTAATTTATTTGTGTTTCTTTTTTTAGGTGGTTTGTTCCGGGAATGAATTACCAAAGATGTCCCAGGAACTCCATTATCGTTTACCGCAACCTTATAGAACACATTGGGCCAGATGATGTAATTTATCTACCATTACTTTGTCTAATTGATAAACACATACTTGTATTTCTAATTACATATATTGTTAATGTAGTTTGTCTGGATGTCGTACGAGGGTCTCGACCACCAGCCCGACGTCAATGATGTTGGCGTGTGGACATCTAAAACACCTATCATTCGGTTCACTATAGTGGAGATGCACAAAAGTGACCGGGTGAAACTACAGTTCATGATGCATCAGGATATTTCAGATGCTCCAGCGTCATTGGGACACTAGCATCAGCTAAGGGTGGATACACAATGGAGTGTAAATAATTAGAACGACTTTGCGAAAGAGATGTGTATGCATTGGAAGAACCGACATCAATACATCTTAACTGACCCTATTGTGGAAGGGGCTAGACCAAGTTATCAATATATGATTTGGTTTAGGTCGGTTACAACTTCACAATAATTTGTGTTTGAGCCAGAATATTTGATTGACCCAAGGCAACGTGCGCCTTCCTCGAACCCACAACAACAACCCAATGCCTAACATCAAACACCATGTTATACTCAACATCCAACTATGCCCACCCAATCAATCTTCCAAAACCGCAACCCATACATGCTACCAACCCAATCACAACAACAAGAGCCTTACCCCTACCGCCAGCCTTCTAAAACCGACACCACTTTTGCATATAGCCCTGATACATCGTTTAACCCTACCCCATCCACCTATAGCCCATATAACTCTTTTGACCCCACACCAGCCAATCAATCTTCCTACCAACAAAATACCTATCCATTTTTTGACTACGAAATCCTACAACAACTATTACATCGTTTCCAAACCGATTCGATGTACCAATTTGGACAACCATACCGTCCACACCCCATCCAACCTCCCTGACAAAACTACAAAAACATGGGCATTGAACTTAATTACGGAAGTGCCGTTGGCAGCGGCCATCCCGACTATTGGGGTCAAATGCTTCAAAATTTATCTAATACGCCGGACCATCTCAACTAATACCTCTTCCACAGGTAAACACGCAAAGACCAAATACACCTCAACAACCTCGTGGTAGACCACGACACCGCGCGAATCCTCCCCAATGTGGTACCAATGGTCGTTTTGATAGAGCCGATCATTAATTTTTTTTTCCATTTGTTGTATAATATTGAAGCTTTTTTATATTATAAATATTATAATTTATTATTTCTTTTATTTATATTTTTTATAAAATATTAAAAATAACAATTTTTTTTAATTATATTTGACAAAAACTAAATATTAAATATTAATTAAATGTGATAAAATATAAACAAAAATTAAATATAAAAAAAACCTACAACTGATGCGTCATCTCATATGACGACCCAGTGTATGGTAGGACATGAAATTTAAAGTCATTTGTCATATAAAATGGCGAATCAGGTCTGAAAGATCTTGATCAGCCATTTCATATGGCGACTACTCTTTAAAACATGACAATTTTAATATATTTTTAAAATATTATTTTATTTGATAATTTATTTAAAAAAACATGTTATATTAAAACAAAATTCACATTAAATATTTGAAACAAAATTTAATTTTTAATTTGGTTAGAGTAATTAAATTTTGTTGGTTAAAGAGCCAAGAAACAGAACATTTTGATGAGACCAGAGAAGATTAATTTGTGCGATGCTTTCTTTCTTATCTGTCCCTTTCCTCCGATCCTATATGCCTACCATGTAGGGAGCCATCAGAGTGCTCTCTCAAACATGATGCTCCCACTGCCACATGCTGGAACCACCTTTGTATTTATTTAACAAACATCTCACTACTGTTCTTTCAATACGTAACAACATAGTACACTGTCCAACCAATAACATATCGACAACGTTATAACTTTAACTAAACTTTATCAGCTAGCTTTCCCAAACCAGATACCAAAACCACTTGTCACAAAACCCCAACCTTATAAATATTTCTCTACCACTCCCTTTAATACTAATTATACGTACTCATGACTCTTAATTAAAAATTGATTTTTATTTGTGTCAAATTCTATTAAGTTTTTAACTAATGTAGAATTTAGGTATAGATTTAAATGGACTTACCTTAAAGGGAAGGAAACTACTATTTAAGAAAGTCACGTGTTAATGGTGTACAAATAGTACAATAATCACGTGTTAGCAAGGTACTATAGGCACGTTAATATTTATAAGCAGGCCAGCTTTTATTAAAGATTATATCTAATAGATGTTTTATCCCTTAGACTACTATACATCTCAAAGAAGTTTTATTAACCATAAGATATAGTGAATCAAGAAAAAAGGATTTAGCACCACATTCTAATACAAATGGGAAATGAAAACCTATATATATATATATATATATATATATATATATATATATATATATATATATATATATATATATATATATATATATATATATATATATATATATATATATATATATATATATATATATATATATATATATATATATATATATATATATATATATATATATATATATATATATATATATATATATATATATATATATATATATATATATATATATATATATATATATATATATATATATATATACTAATTCCAATACTTTTATAAGAAACATTTATTTTTTTAAATTTATTAAATAATTAGTATATCTGAATCTATAATACACACCGGATACATTAATTATTTAATTAATCAAAGTGTTTTTTATAAAAAAGACCGGTATAAAAGGACCGTAAGATGTATATATTAAAAGTACTACACCCATTTACTTTAACTTTTTCTAAAATAATTTTTATAGTGTTATACATATTAAAAAAAGTTTACAAATAATTTTTAATATAAAAATTAGTTTAAATAAATATTTTAGAAATATTTCATCACTTTATTATTTTTTTTTCTTTTTCATATCAGATATTTAGAAAATCGCTTAAATTTTAAGCTATTTTGAATAGTTTTTTTATAAAAAAATATTTAAAAAAAAATTTGTGATTGTGAGTATGTTTTAATGTTCAATAATAAATATTTATGTAGTTTGATATAAAAATTATTCTTTAAATTTATATAAAATAATTTTATGAAAATGTTTTTTTATAAAAATAAATTTTTTAGATAGAATAAATTAACACCGAATAGAATCTCATTATAGATTTGTAATGATTAAAAGATAACTAAATAGAGTCATTGTTATTTTATTAAGATTGAATCTTAATTAATTAAGATGGGTTCCCAAAATTTGAAGACACTCTACTATTTATTTATTGGAGCAATTGATTTTTGTGAAAAAAAATATACTTATGATAAGATATAATTATTAGAGAAAAATAAAGAAAGCTATACAGTCTAGAAGAAGAAATTAATATCCATGCCCAAACATTGACACACACAATAGGCTATATTTGCCAGCCTTTTAAACATGCTTCTGAAGGATGGTCCCTTTACCTAGTTTGGGAGCTGGGATTTTCTCTGGTAAAAAACGGGCAACAACAAATTAGGTAAACATATAGGTATATAATTAAAGAACGCAAAAGAGAAAAAAAATGGGAAGAAGTAAGGTACAGCTAAAACGGATCGAGAACAAGATCAATCGACAGGTTACTTTCTCAAAAAGAAGAACTGGTTTGCTCAAGAAAGCAAATGAGATCTCAGTTCTTTGTGATGCTGAAGTAGCTTTGATTGTTTTCTCTCATAATGGAAAACTCTTTGAGTATTCAACTGATTCATGGTAATTATCCAATACCCTACTTATATCTATATATAACTTATTTAGATCTATAGCATACAAAAAGAAGAATTATTTAACCTGTATTTCTATTTTTTAATCTATTTTTGCTTTTGCTCACCAAAAGGGTTTTGGTTCATTTCTCCTTTCTTTTACCACTGCTTTTTCTTCTGATCTTTCAAGTAATAATTAATAATATGTAAAAATTGTTTTAAAAATACATATAATATATACACAAATAAAGAAAACTATTTAGAATTTTTATTTTTTATTTTTATATATAGATATCATGTTCATTTTCAATTTTCTTATAAGTTTTCTTTTTTAATCATCACAAATATTATATATTTTTTATATGTAGAAAAGGGCTTGCTGTTTACCACATTTTAAAATCATGATAATTTCATTTTCTTGACAAAAATAAAAGATTACATGCATATGATGTGAATAATATTGTTTGAGAAGTATATATATGTTGTTGTGATTAATTATAATGTAATTTTGGCTGTACTGTTTCATTGAAACAGCATGGAGCAGATACTAGAACGCCATGAAAGGTATGGCTATGCAGAGAAACTACTAGTAGCAAGTGATACTACTGACACTCAGGTTTGTCATTTATTTTACAATTTCTATTTAACAATATCTTCACACTTTGCAGTAACATAAGAGCCTTTTACTGTTGAAGTTTTTTATTGTATTTTTTAAGATTTGTGTTAATTTTAATTTGTTAATGACAAGATGATATTTTTGAAGTGAGCCATTGTTGCTTTAATTTTAAGATTAGTTTTTTTTCTTCTTTATTTTATCATTTTAACCAAAAAGAAATAAAGGAACCCGGAGGTTTGCAACATAACCACAATCCTGATATTATGGAAAAATCTGAGTGAATACAAACTATCCTGTCACAGTTTTGTTATGAAAATCTGAACAGCTGCAATTTAAGAGTAGGCAATTCATAACTGCAACAAAAACTTTTGAAACATACTTTATCTTTTGCATCAAAATCATCTAAAGTTGATAGATTATTGTGTTACAATCAGACACATAAATTAAGAAAAAGTATTGAACTCAAACTCCTTGTGTTAATATATTAGTTGAGAATAAGTAGCTGGGTGTACTTCGTGCAGGAAAACTGGACAGTTGAATACACTAGACTAAAAGCAAAGATAGATCTTTTGGAGAGAAACCATAGGTAGATAGATCCTGTATAATATTATCCTCTTTGCTAGCTATTTCAGAAAAATATATTATCGGCTAACAGTGTAACTTAGCATGTTTGTTCAGGCACTACATGGGAGAAGGTCTAGCTACAATGAGCCTGAAAGAGCTTCAATGTCTAGAACAGCAGTTAGATGCTGGTCTCAAGAACATCCGTACCCACAGAGTACATATATACTTACACTCGTTTTAATTTAAATATACTAACACTAACACACATATACCTTTTTTATGGATGACAAAAGAAATTAACTTATTCAACATTTAAAAATTTTGGAATTGATGGTTTTAAATTGCGGAACGTATTAGGATCACGTAATGTGGCCGCAATACTGTGGTTGAGGTAGTATTCACGTCATATTGCAATTTGTTGAGATATTAAATATAATTTAAATTGTATTATGCGGCCTAAACCCAAAACAAATTAGGGTTTAAGATTTGTTATTTAGTTTATTATTTTAGTGTATATTAAAAGACACTTTATAATTCAGTTTATTTAATTTTAATAATATCAATCATTGTTTTTTTATTTTTTCTCTTTATTATCATGAGCTTTTGCTTCGTAAAAGGACCGACTTACTTGTATTGAAATGTTGAGAAAGAGGTGTCCCGTTGAAATCCAAATATCTAGGAAAGAGGTGTATCGAAGTGTCTAGTAATAAGTGTTAACGGCGGTACAAATATATATGGACAAAAGAGTTTTCACATAAGGGGGATTATTGTGGACTTACACTTGAGGGAGAGTGTTGAGAATAATATAACTAAGTATGAGTTGGAGTTACATATTGGTTATAATTGTGGAGAGTTGAATATTTATAAGTGGAAGATCTCATATATCCATCATCTTAAAATTTTAGGTGAATATGTGATGTCTTTTACTTGTGTTGCTCTAGGTTCAATGATAATGCTACTTTTCATATATGTATGTTTTAAATTCATCACAACCGCAACCACATCTGCACCGCAACCGCAATTTAAAGTCATACAAATTATTTAAAATTTTAGACAAAATAAATAATTATATAGGAGTATAGACATTTAATTAAATTTCAGGAATCTAATTGCAAAGTATTGATAAACAGAAATTCCTACGCTGTTATAACTTTATTTATCCACCACTTTGTCAAATTTATGTTGTTGTAAAAGAAATACTAGCTATTAATTTATGTGTATGTATTTATATATAAAGCATCTTTGTTACGAATTGAAATATAATGTATTATGGTGACAGACTAAAGTCATGTATGAGGCCATTTCTGAACTTCAGAAAAAGGTATGTCTCAAACACAAAGTTTTAACAATCAAGGCTTTATATAGTTTTTTGTCACACATTGGACACAAAATGAATGCATGTTTCTCTAGATAATGAAACTAATATATTTGTGCTCTCTCATATGACAGGAGAAAGGGATACAAGAACAGAATAACATGCTCTCAAAAGAGGTTAGCAAGATCAGCATTTACTACTGTCTTTTTGCATATATAACTCAACTTGATTAATTAATTAATTAATTTTATAGCATGATTAACTCTTAATATATTCCATTTTATTGCTTGTTGGAACTATACAAAGTGAAATGCCCTAAAGTGAATAAGGACAAAATTATGATTACAATGGTGTACTCATTTAGTACTTGCTTTCAACCTATTTATTAGAAAAAAGATTAAATCAAGGCTAGTTATGGTGCAGTAAGATGGTGTTCTAGTGTGCACAAATTGTTTTTCAAATCAACAAGTGTTGTCATTAATGACTAGTCACTTTGGTGAACAATTGGCTAGGCCCCGGCTGGATGATATTTCTTTTGTGGTCCTTTCCCTTGTGTAAAGCATCAACTTATTCTCTCCATTCTTGCTATGATGTTGGCTTATTGAGCCCTTAGTGCCAAGGAAATAAAAGTTTGGGTACTTATACTTTATAAAATCATTGAGGGTTCTCCTCTGGGGAAATATTGGGTACTGTATGAATTTTTTATTTTTTATTTTTATCTAGGGATGAAGTGGTAGTGAGTGAGAATATTGATTTGGTTAAGAAACTTATGACACCTTTAGACGGGGATTTCTAGAATTGATTTTGAAGATATGTGACGGTCTTAGACCCGAGCTTGTTCTTTCTAGTAACGGTTAATTCATGCTTAATTAAAGAGATAATTATCCGGAGAGAGACAGTTTAATTAACGTGAATTTGTTGAATTATAAACATGACCTGATCCATTAGAATTAGAATAATAGTGTTAGATGGATTTTGGTTTAGTGGTATAAACGAAAGAAAGTTCTATAGAAGTGTAAAAATTTATTGGTATATAATAATAATAATAATAATAATAATAATAATAATAATAATAATAATAATAATAATAATAATAATAATAATGTATGTAGCAGAGAGAAATCTCTCTCATGAGATATCTAGAATAATTTATATATGTAGGTAAAACTCTCCCTTGAATCTTACAAATAGTAAGAGCTTATTATTTGTAAATCAACTTAGCAAAATTTAGTAATCAAGTAAGTAGAAACAATTATACGAGCTTGTAAAACATCTTGTCAATAGAAATTGCCATTATCTCAAATAGTACCCACTTCGTTCAATTCCTCACAAAATTTTAATATAGATTTTTCCCTTTTCAACAAAGTGACATCATAACTTAGATTTTGACAAGAACTTCCTCTATGGTTATGACAAACAATGGAACACCGTCCTTCAAAATTTAATTTTTTAAAAGAAGTACTTATGATAATTAGTGTAGCAAAATAAAATTTTTTATTGGATCATACAATATTTGAAAGATTGTTGAAAAATGGTATAAGAAATCACAAGATGAAGATTTCTTAACTCAAACATAAAAGAAAGTTTTGTAGGATTCAGGAAAGATAGATAAGATAACTCCTTTTGCCATCCACTAGGCAATGGATGACGATGAGTTTGCAAAAATTCAAATGCAACATCTAATCCACAAGTGCGAGAGAAGCTTCAAACATCTTACAAAGGTGAAGACAGATTAAAGATGATGCATCTCTAAATTCTAAGAGATGAGTTTGAATTCTTGCATAAGAAACACTCAGAATCTATTTTTGAATATTTTTTCTAGAGTTATCATTATTTCAAATCAAATAAAAAGAAATGGTGAAAAGTTAGAAGATGTGAGAATTATGGAAAATATACTCTGCTCATTAGATCCCATATTTTAGGATATTTTTATGACAATCGAGGAAACAAAAAACTTAGAGACTAAAAATTGTGCAACTTCAATGATCATTACTACCTTATGAGGAGAAACACGAGAAGAAGAAAGATATCACAGAAAAATAATCTAGATGCAAGTAAAGGTGAATGAAGAAATGCAAAGAAATGAGAGATAACAACAGAGTCGAAGTATATGTTGATGAGGAGGTTGAAGTCAAAGATATTTTAAACGTGGTAACTATGGATGAGTTTCAAATTTTACTAAAGATATTTATGAGAGAGGAGAAACCTTGAACAAGCTAGAGAACGTGGAAGAGGGTACATAAACACAAGGAATCAAAAATCTCAAAGTCAAAGCTAAAATTCTCCGAAGTTTGTCCATTATGCTTCAGAATGTAGATATTTCAAGAATAGAGTCGTGGAGAAGACAAACTATGTAGCAGGAAAGAATGAGAAGTTTAAATCATTGTTGCTAGCGCATGGAAATAATAAAAAAAGCCAAGAAAAATCATGGTACCTAGGCACTAGTACAAGAAACCATATGTGTGGAAAAAGGACATCTTCATATATGTGGCTATGATTCCAAGGTTCTAGTAAAAGGAAAAGGTATAGATTAATTCATTTAAAAGATAGAAGACATCAATTTATTTCAACTCTATGTTTCAAACATGGAGAACAATATTTTGAGTTTGGAAAAACTTTTAGAAAAAGGTTATGATATTCACATGAAAGAATTTAGTCTCTCCATCGAAGATGAAAAAAAATAATTTAATCACAAAGTTACACTTTCCCAACAATAAGATTTTCTTATTGAATATCCAAAATTAAGTGGCAAAATATCTCAAAGCATACTACAATTGTCGAGCAATAGGATTTTCTTATTGAATACCCTTTTGAACGTTGTATTATCCTTTAGGCGAGAAGTATAATTTCTCTTCTTCTATTAGTGTGAACCCTCAGCAGTGGAAACATGCTCTTTGACATCACGTGCCTTCTTTTCGGCGTTGCTCTCCTTGCCTTTTATGTAGCATTCTTCTATGGTGACCATCTCCTCGAACGAGAGCATTGGTTTCTAGGCGGAAGATTCGTTGAAGTGTCTCGCCTTTAGTCCATTTTGAAATGCCTTACAAATATTTCTTGATTTGGCGGGACGACCCTTGTAACACCCTAAAATCCCGCACTTATAATTATAAAATAAAAGATGCAGAAAACACATATTCACACTTACAATGTTACTCGATATCAAACACATCTGTTCTGCAACACTTAAATTTAAAATGAAACATTCAACACCTGTCATCTCATGATCACCTTCACTTAGGATATCATCGCAGCAGAATTATAAAGATAAACATGCTCTGCAAACTTATAAATCTCATGAATCTATTTTTTTAAACTCAATTGAAATACAATAAAAATCTCGTTCAAACAACATAAGTATCACATAAGAGAGTATAACATCCAGTTCTCCATTTTACATAAACAGAATAAAAAGACATCGTTCGCCCCACCCAGTGTTATAGATCAGAGCACGTAATTCTAAAGACGCAATAAAAAATAAAGGAAGAACAACCCTGCGCCATCCTTCACTCTAGCAGCTACTCAGTTACCTGCTTGTCTGTAGTCCGAAGCGGAGCACAAACCACAACCATAACAACAAAAGGGTAAGAAATCACATTAATAAAGCAAGCGGTACATACTGCAAGATAGAGTATCAACACATATACAAACACATACTACAATAATTGCATCACAACATCTTACAAACACATTTGCACACCAAATCATAACAATCAAATACAAAGCAACATCATGCATACAACTCATTTATGCAATGTAACTCAACGATGCAACTTGTTGCATATGCATGTGGTACCATATAATCAAAAGGCTCCTTAGCAAACTGAGTTCTCCCTACTCGAACCCCGAATCCACCCTGCTCGGATTTAGGACAAGTCACCAATCCACCCTGCTCGGATTGCAACTTGCTTATTTCATCAACAACAACGACATCATAAATGCATGTAAAAACACATCAATGCAAAAACAACGGAATGTTTGAAGTCCCCTTTCGAAAATAAACAAAGCATGCATTTACCAAACAATAATAGTCCTCTTTACTCTAACTATTGCTCACCAATCACATCAATAACATTAATATTATTCTAAACACCATAACACAACAACATCACAATCATCATCAACATCATACACAACAACATTTTAATCATCATCAACATTATACACAATAACATCATAATCATCATTAACATCATCAACTAAGATGCTTACACAATAGCACTTACTTATACAAACTTAAGACATCATCAATATTCAACATTTACATTGTTTACTAATTATAATTAATATTCTCAAACATCATAGCATCATTGCAATATAACATCAACAAATACACACAATTCTCATCAATTATTCATGTTATCACGACACAATTAGCCAGTGAAACTAATTTCATTTAATGGTGAATTGTGTTAGCTTTCTAACACTTCAATATACGTCTCAATCCGAGTCCCGAAACTCATGTTACAGCAATTTGAGTCGTAACTAACAACTCCGTGTTGTCATGCTCGCCCGGCGAGCTAGGGGCGAGAGAAGTAAGTAGCGAAGACTCAGCGAGACCAACTCGCCTAGGGCTCGTCTGACAAAGCTGTCAAAAATGCGAATTTATACTGTAGAGTCTCCAAACCTTTCCAAATTCAATCCCAAATATTCCCAAACATCTAAAAACTTATAGCACAAGAGTACCACACAATAGCATGTTAATTCCTATCAATCTAACATGTTATTACACTGATTTAACTCGAAAAAATCCAAAATTGTTCATACTTTAAAAATTCCCATATTGTAACAAAACTCATGTTTATGAACGCATAACATACAAAACTTAAGAACACAACTTTATAAGAACAACATACCATTACAATTCAAATCAATTCATATAACAACAAATTCATCGTCATATATTCATCAAAAATCAATGGATAAACAAACCCCATTAGAGGTTAAAGACTACTCTACGATATCCCTTATGCATATACCCTTTATTAGGGTTATTCTCCACCCTTATCTTGTGATTCTAGCAAAAGCAAACAATCTCTAAGGTCCCTTCTCCAAAAGCTCTAGTTCTCCCATTAATCTTCTCTTTGCCCTAACTTTTTTTCTCTTTTTTTGCCTATTTTTCTACGTACAGATAAAACGATTTCCTCTTAACTCTCTTTTTAAAATAAAAATCTAATTTGGTCATTAGGATATTCCTACCTTACCCTCATTTTTCCTTAATCCCCATCTTGTCCTCAATATCTCTACAAACTCCTAATTTTCCTTAATCTTATTATTTTATTTAAATAATAAAACTAGAGTATTATTTTAATTACTAAAATGATTCTAAGTAAAACCTACCAACTTCTAATTGCTCTATACACTCTCCCCTCACGGTCACACACCCCATCAATCTTATTTATTTAAATAATTTAATTAAAATTCTTTTTATTCTAATTATCAAGATTGAAAATCATTTCTAAATTGTTTCTATCAACTCCAACAAGCCACAACTTATTGTTACACCTTATTTTATATGACATATACTCATACCCTCTTATTTATCTATTCACACACATATAAATCACAAAGAGTTCACAAATAACTTAACTAAAATAATTTAATAAAAACTGGGGTGTACAACCCTGATGGTGGCCTCGTCAAATCGGGCTAGATAATCAGTTGGTGATTCTGAAGGACCCTGTCGTATGTTGTAGAGGTTGTTGGTGAATATTTTTCTGTGACAGCTGGCTAGGAACTGGTGTTGTAGACATTTTATCTCATATGAGAGTGGTTGGGGATCCAACAATTCTATGTTTTATGGAGGATTAGATTCCTGTTGGCGTTGTTTGGTGTTGTAGACATCATCCGCTAGTATCTGGTTATGGCAGCATAACTTGCCACAGATGCACATATCTCTACCAAGGCATTATCATCATTAGTACTGCTGGTACCTTCTAGCGTAAGGGATTTAGCTCTCCAATTAGCCATGGTTGAAAGTTGCTAAGTGTCGGAGTAAAAGTTAACCGTGAGTAGGGTGATGTTGATGGAGAATGTTTAACCCGGGTTAGTTTTTCTGGGTCCCCACGACGGGTGCCCATGTACCACAAAAACTAGAGGTGTGCGTGTTCTTCCTGCAACGGAAGTGGGACTCAGCGGCCTTTGTAGGTGTATAAAAAATAATAGTGATTAGGGTTTGCCAACAATAGTATAACAGTGAGAAGTCCTGTATGGTAGTGTTTTGCGCTGGTTTTGAGGACCTGCACACTTGAGGTGAGATGTTTTTTTACAGAATAATGTGTTTAGATGTAAGTGTATATGGAAGGGTTAATGCACCACTTTGGATGGAGTCCTTGAGAAAGAAAAGTACATCGAGCAACTATTCAAGGTAAGGAAGAAAATTCTAGAACACCTCAAATTTAAGAGTCGATTTTGAATTATAAACATGATTTAATATATTGGAATAATAAAGTCTTAGACCCATTTTGGTTTAAACTTAAGGTTAAGGAAAATTTTAAAGTATAAAAGTTTATTGGTAGATGAAATATAGAATAATCTAGAATAATTTATAGGATGTAAAACTCTCCTTTGAATTCTATAAAAAAAAAGTTTATTAATTGTAAAGAAAGCTAACAAAAACTAATAATCAAGCAAGTAGAAACAAGTAAAGAGCCTTGTAAAACATCCTCTCAAATAATTTATCATTCAAATTCCTCATAACATTTCAATATAGTCTTTTGCTTTTCCAACAGATCTTTAAGCCACGTTCAATTTTATATTGGTGGTTGAGGGTTGGAGTGGGATGATCGGGAAGTTAAGTCTTTAAATAGGCTCTAGGGCTTTCAAGTGGCTACTGAGATTTTGTAAACTTTCTACATGCAGTATGCAGATGATATTTTTCATTTGTTAGGCAATTTTTGATAACTTTTCTCATCTTCAGTATCGCAGACTATGATTTTGACTGTGGTTTAGCATGTTGTATGGTTGATTGAGAGTCACAAATTGATGTTTTGAAAGTGGTTTTTGGATAAATTCTTAGAATCTTCACATACTTTTTAGTGGGGATAATTGAACTTCCTCTTTGCTTGCATATATAATCTTTAGGATTCATCATGTGTTCAGCTTGAAAGACAAAAAAAATTCTTTGTCCTACTACAAATTCATACGTTTGTGACCTGAAACTAGATAAAGGAGAAAGAAAAGGCTGTTGCACAGGAGGCGGCTGCCGCTGCTGCCGCTGCTCAATGGGAGGAGCAGCCAAACTACAGAGTTAATACATCTTTCTTTCTACATCACACTCTTGCTGGTTTAAACATGGGGTATGATACATTTCACACTTTCATTACTTCTTCATCTTCTCTAGCTATACCAACTTAATTATGTTCTTAATGTATAAATAATTATGTTTTATTTGTTCAGTGGCAACTACCGTGAGGGAGATCAAGAACTGATGAGGAACGGGCTTGACCTCACTCTCGAACCAGTGTATTATTAATTCTTCATTGCCACCATGGATGTTCTTCAAAATGTTTTCTTATATTATATATATATTTTACAATCATATAGGAACGACTATATATGTATTGATGAATACCTTATATATACTTGAGTCAGTTATATGATTTTCAATAATTTGAAGACATTAATTTGAAGTACAGTTGTTGTAACTGAATATATTGACTTTGCAATTAAAATTGTATTTTAATAGGATTTGTTTATGATTCTTAGATAGCCATTTTGTTAAAAGATATTATTTAGAAATTTAAAATAAAAGGTAATAATAATAGCTTTTTCATTTAGGAAAATATGGAATTTAAATGCAGAGTCGATTTTAAATAAGGACAATCAGATTTTAATCCTCTCATGTGGTCGGTTCTACGTTCATTAGAGTCGTTCATACATATTTTATCACTCTTTTTAAAATATTATTTTATTTATCGATTTTTAATTTTTAATTTTTAATGAACTCTCAACGTTTGAATAAGCATATAGAAAAGGCCGAACATAAATTAATAGCTGGAAAATATTTCGTTCTTTAGTTGGCAAACTTAGAATATATATATATATATATATATATATATATATATATATATATATATATATATATATATATATATATATATATATATATATATATATATATATATATATCACTACAACAAAAATGAGTTTAGGCAACAACGGAAATCCGCAGTCAAAAATCCTAAAACCGTAGTCTAAATATTTAGAGGGCGGTTTTTCAGGCGTGGAGTAAACGGCCGTTGCCAATTTCAATAGAGATCGGTTTTTTAACTTTAGCCCACACTTTTTCAAAGCGTCGTCTAAAATATGTAACTGCCCACGGTTTATAGAATTTGTTTAGACCGCGGTTTATTTTTAGCTACATTATAAAAGCGCCCCCTTAGGTTTTTTAAGCTACGATTTTTAAATTAAGATCCATAACTTGAAAATTTCAAATTCGATGAAACATGAATGCTACTTAATCTTTAACATAAGAATACATATTATCGGCAAATAAATGTACAAAGAAAATGAACACATCATATAACAAAATGACTTTATATATATATATATATATATATATATATATATATATATATATATATATATATATATATATATATATATATATATATATATATATATATATATATATATATATATATATATATATATATATATATATATATATATATATATATATATATATATATATATATATATATATATATATATATATATATATATATATATATATATATATATATATATATATATATATATATATATATATATATATATTTCAGTTTTTAATTTAATATTTTCACTTTTAACTAAAATACTTATATCTCCCCGACAATCCTAACTCAATTGGAAAAAAATTGATATTGCTATGAAATTTTATTTCAACCTTAATGGTAAAGAAAAAATACGTTAAGAGCTTAATCATGTTTTAAGGGCTGTTTGGATCACTTGTGAAGCTCATAAACTTATGTTACTTTTACAACTCGTTTTCAATTTATTACAATAACTTTATATAAAAAAGTATGACTATCTTAGTGTTTAGTTTAGTTATTTATAATAGAGCTTAATTAGTATATGAAAAAGCATTTGAGTTGTATTCTTCACTGTTGTTCAAAGATGATATAGAACTACACAATTGCAAACAAATCAAGCATATTTGATATTTACATGACTTTACAATAACCATACAATTCACTTACATTTAAAAAATTAAACTTGCAAGTTGCAACCTATTGTTAATCTTCACAAGGAAAATCAAGTAAACAAACTTTTAGTATTGTTTCCTAAGTTAATAAATCAAGTCAATTCACAATGTCATTACCTTAGAAAAAGACCATTCACCTCAACTTCCATAACATCTAAAACCAAAAAAAAGATCATTCACCCCATCCTATTTTCAATGTTTCAAATAGAATTCTCCACCGCCACCGTTGTTACAACCTACAAATTAGTAACTTAGATGCTCATTTAAACAAGTGAAAGAAGCATACTTCCAAGAAAAACAACAATTGAAATCGTGGATCGATTACCTTCGGTTTCAATGTCGTGTTAAGTTGCAGAATCATTCATCAATCCCAACTCTGCATCTATCCAAACTGCTATTGTTCCAAAAACAAGATCTGTTTATTGATAAGTATCTCATTTTACAAAAAACAAGAGAAGAAAAGTGAGATATAACTAAGCTAAAGTTTTCTTAGTTATCTCATTTTACAAAAAACAAGGGAATCTTTCAAGCTTCTGCCTCCAATTTCCTCTTCAGAGTTCTCTTGTCTCAATTCTTACTGTTAACACAAATGAATTTTAAAAACCCTGTAGAACTCTCTTTTTGTTAAACCTAGACTTGAGCCAAATAATTGGGTTTTTCCCATTATACCCTCACTTACTCCTCTCAATTGACCAAATTATCCTTCTTTCACTATTATTTATTTTAATTCATAATAATATATTAAATTAATATTATATACTATCAATTAAATAAATAATCCACAAATTGCATAATTCTCAATAATTTTACAAAACACCGAAAATCACCAGAAACACCTAAAATACGAATATTTTTAAAAAAATAAATAAATTAAAATATTTCGATTAAATTTGAAGTGTTACAAAAATCAAGTGTAACGTGAATTCTATGTTACTATAGCGAATAAGGATTTGAAAGAATTGTGACTTTTTATTTCGTCCTATAGTACCTGATACCTTTATTTGTTACTGTAGCGAAATTTAAAAAGCATGATAATCTTGTAGCAAAATACTATAATCCGTTTTCATTCTCATTTGCTGTAGCGCTTAATATAGGAGGTGAAATATAATTTTTATCCAATTAAATCCTGTAGGGGACATAAAAGATAATAGGTGAATAACATGTGAACCTTCCAATTAATGTCCTGTAGCGTAGAGCATGGAATTGGTTAAATAAAATAAAAAAATGTTATTCTTACACCCATTTTTACACCTAATACTTACACCGTATGCACTGTTCACCATATTTATACGGTGAACAGTGTTTTTTTTATTAAAATAATATATATTTTTTAAAATATTAATTTTTTTAAAAAAAATATTTATTTTTAAAATTTATTTTATAACACAAATATAAGATTACGCATTAACCAACTTCACAGTTGCATTAACCACAAAAATCTACATCATTAACCAATTATTTTACCTATAATTTATTAACCACTTTCACTACTTCATTAACCAATAAAATACACACTATTAACCATGTTCTGAAAAATTTGTTCAAGTATTTGTGAACAGTGAATTAGGTGTAGGGTATAGAAAATGGTGTCAACGTAGCAATAAAATATGACTTTCATTTCTTAAGTACTGTAGCAAAAACTAGAATAATGTAATGTTTTCTAATCAATCAACTAATCTCAACTCTATTGCTAAACACCGTAGAAAGATACGTAAATGGATAAACCTGTGTATAATGATAATTAATATTTAATTTAATACACATAATAGAACAAAATCAATAAGGTAACACTAGCTTGTTTAAGTGAAGAATTTTCAATCAATAAGTTATTAGAATTTTTCTTGCCAGGCATCTATATATCCACATATTTCCGATGAAGTATGTGGAATATGAACCAAAGATTCATTTTATATCAAATTTTAGAACTACAACTCTTAAATATCATAGAATTGTGAAAGTGATTCCTCCTTTATTGGTTGACTGAGATATGACCAATATTGCTAATTACTGCTACTAAACATATGTCATGTAATGTAATATTCTTTTTTCCCTTTTTCTATATTGTGGTATATATGTATAATTTGGAATTTATTAAAATATTAAATATTTATCAAATACTGAATATTTAAAACAGTAAATATTTATTTAAAATATTAAATATTTATTAAATAGTGAATATTTATTTAAAATATTGAAAATTTATTTAATATTGGATATTTCTTGCACATTTATTAAAATATTAATTATTTATTGAATATTGACTATTTATGAATATTAAATTTAATTATTGATGATAGATTAATTATTTTATAATTAATCGGCAATATGTGTTTTATGAATTGAGGTTGGATTGTGTTGATAATTGTGTATGTGCAAATGTGTGGTAACTCAAGTGAGATAAATTATTGAAGATACACATGAATGTTAAGACTAGGGAATGGTCTTAACTGCATATGATTGTTGAAATTGCACACGCATCATTTGTTTCAAGAGGCAATGCTTGTTACTTCTGTGGGAGCTAGTGACTTGTCTCAAACCTAGAGCAGGGTTTGAAAGCTTAGAGAATGGGCTTTTATGTGTTATTTGTCTAGGGAATGAATCCAGTTTAATGTAAAAACCGAAAAACAATAACAAGTGTTGGTACCACATGGCATGAGTTGCATTTAGTCTTGCATTGAGTCTCATTGTGTATATGTTTGTGCTATGAGGTTATGTGTATCTATGTGAATTGTTGAAATTGTGGATTGTGTGTATATACTTGTGAATGATTTGGTTACTTGAGTGATACTTTGTTGATGAAACTTTGAAGTGTGAAAATAATTGTAATTATTTTTTATGTTTAAATTAATTATTATCTTATAATTTCAATAATTATGTGAATTCTCACCCTTCTGTTAGAATGATGTTTTATACGACATCACTCAAGTACAGAGGAGTAGAGTTGCTTCTAGCGTAAGGTAGCAGTTGGAGTAGCTTGATTTGTGTCTTTGTTTATTTTGGGTCGAGTCATGCTCTGATTATGTAACACTGGGGAATGTTTCGATTTCATATTTTGAGAGATACTTTATGTACTGTTAGTACCATGGTTCTATGGTTCTAGGATTGGCTAAATTTTGGTAAAACGTGATCCTACACTGATGTGAAGCAGGATACTATAACATCTCCATCTGCTGTGGTGACAGAACTGCTGTGAAGTGTTTTAATAAGAATGTCATGCTGAATGTCGTGACATCCATCACGACATCCATCTGTAGTCATGACAGAAC